TTTACTTAGATGTATAAAATGTTAGAAGTATTACGAGACACTAAATCGACTGTTTGCATACTGATTGTTTTGTAACTTTAAGGCAAAATCAGAGTTCTGAAGTACGATACCCGACCCGACAAGCATCATCGGTGAAAAACCTTTCCTACAACCCAAGTCGGAGTGAAAGTAGCGAACGACGAGTAGAAACGTCTGCTTTTTAAAATTTAAAAAATCAAATTTAGCTACAATTTTACATTGTACAAAATCTTGCAGTTGAAAATAGCATCTTATTTTGCAATTGTGACGATAACAAGATCGCTACAGTTGTCAATGACACGTTTTCATTTGGATTTTTTTCGCTGTCTATTAAAATCACTGTCAATCTATCTTTTTTACATATGTTTGAGATATGTACAATTTTTTTTGATTATTTTCAAAGAAAAAAAAACTGAGCAGGCATTTTGAACTAAAACTTAAGTTTAACTTACATTTTATACTTGTAGAGCGGCGAATAAAGATGAAACATTAAATACAGAGCTCGAGAACTTGAAAATATATGCTCAAGAGACGTATGCAACAACTTGTCAAGAAAGTCGTAGTGCAAGCGAAGTTGCAGCTGTCCAACAGTAACTGTGCCTCAAATACAGAAAGCTTTACCATATTTTTTTCTTCTTTATTGCTTTAAAGCTTATTTGTTTATTTTGAACTCAAATAAAGTGCTGAAATATGGCTTAACTGCTTTTCAGATACTCTAAAATGTAATAAAATAGTTACAATATTATTTCCTTTATCTATTCAGCTAAAGTTTAAAAAAAACAGTTTTTTTTGCCTGTGCACATAAACCTTAGTGTTTTTTTCGCCTAATTAAAAAACTGACAAATTACTTGACAGTTAAAAAAATTGACAAAGAAGCTGTGTGGAAAGCAGTAGGTATTAAATTATGTACATTTTAAAACCATTTCCTCAAATTCCTCATAGTTTGGTTAACTGTTTAAGTTTTCCTTCTGGTGCATGAGTCTGATGAGACTTGTTCTGTAGTTAAGACCAATACAAACCAGCTTTCTTCAAAAAATGATAAACACTGACAAATTTCAAAAGCTATCTAGCTCAAGCGTTTTTTGAAATGTTTATATGAAGCACTTGGTGTTTCCAAGCTTATTTCAAAGCTTATGTTCATTACTAAATATTTCAAGCGCAAATTACAAGAGAAAAAAGCAGAACATAACGAGCAACAAAACACATAATATACTCTAAATTAAAATATTAGAAGAAATTAAAAAGGTCTATAAATTATGAGTAGATTGGTAAATCTAAAAACGTAGAGTGATGTTCACAAATAAATCTTTTTTTTTTTTTTTTTGAAACAATCAGAAGGCAATTTAGTTGTGATTCTACGGTAAAGTACTTTATTTAGCAAAAAACCCTAGATTCATAATAGTTCAGCAAGCGTTTTGTTCAGTTGCATTCGAAGTCATCACATTTAAGATAGTGTTGTTGAAAACTTTTCTGTATGCTAATGATTTAAGCATTCCAATGACCACAAATTTAAAAGAACATTTATTAAGTGCTGATCTTTGTAAAATATATATTGCCATTTATATTTTGCCTACCCACGAACGTCTGCGTGTCTCAGCTAAAGAATCTCTTCCTCGAATTGAAGACTAGACTTTCTACGAAGTTACTCTGTCTTTGACCTTCTGCACCTGCTACTTGTTTACACCTATATATTTGCAACGCTAGGCAATGTTTCCAAAATGAGAGTTCGATAGTTTCTTCGGTTTTGATGAATAGAAATATCACTTTATCTTGCCAATTTGTATTGTATATTATAGACAGTCATACTGCTAAGTCTTCTTGACTAACCTGACTACAGTAAATACTGAAAAACGATTATAAAACACAAGGAGAACTATTAATTTACAAACTGTCGCAGTTATCAAAATAATTTTAATTGAAGAATGATGGTAAATTTTCCTTCTGCTATGCTTTAAAAGCTCTAAAAATTTTTATTTTTCGCTGTACTTCCAATTAGCCCTTGTGATCTTTCTTCAGCACCAATCACTGACTGTAAATTTCTTTATAATGTCATTAATAAACTAAATTTTTACTTTTACTATCTATGCAGATATTTGGACTGGTTTGAACAATAACAGATTGTAAACGTCTATTGACGTTCAGTATCCTTTACTTCTTGACAATATAGCATAGTTTTCGTACACAGGTACTACGCAGAACCTTCTAGGAGATAGCCAGAGAACGCTGATAATACAATAAATGAAGAAATAAAAGTCAATTCAATCAACTTCAAGCATTGAACAAGTAATTTACCAAATAAAGAAGCAAAAATTTGTAACTAAGAAAACACAAGTAAAAGGCTAAATGGGCTAACAAGAGACGAAATGAAAACGCTAGAGAGAAACTTGAGACAATAGCTGACGATAATCAAAACTGGTCTTGAAAAGAAACACTGGAAACTAGACGCTCTGAGTCGGTCTTTATACCTTTAATTTGCCTCTAGTGTTGCCTGACTATCATTTCTTCAGACATTGACTGAACACCTTTTCTCTGAAAGCTTCTCTTCAGGAAGACAACAGTGACCTCTGTATTTACTGCCACCTTGACTTTAACAGGTCGTCTCATATGTGAAAGCATTCCTACAGCTTATGAACAACCGCCGTTGTCGAGAGGGCTCTGACGTTTTGCGTATTGCCGCAACATCAACACTGAAAAGGCTTTTCTAAACAATCTAAACGGAAACTAAATAAAATAACTAAGCAGTTGGTGTAAGACTGGAGGTCCAAATTTAGATGATCAATTGATCACGTTTGAAAGTTACCGGCAAAGTAAGATGTTGGCAACCAGAGGACTGCAAGATTACCGGTGAAGTTTGCAAAAAAAACGACCTCACTGAGTTTCAAGATTCTATTTAATGACCTAGAGAAGATTCCTCCTGGTAGTTCTTCTAACTTTTCTGAGATAACTATTTCTTAGAACAAGCACAGAAAACTGCTCATTTAAATAAATTTTTTGTTCCAAGTATAGTTGCGACACTGCGCGGAGGAGTTTTGTAGAAGTAGAATAACTATGGTTGGTGGTTGGTATTTTTTGCAATTTTTAAAACTTTGTTCTTTAATTTGCACATTATTGAATTAGGAATTTTTAGTATTTTTTTCACTAGTGTGATTATTTTCAAAAAGATTATAAAAACCTTTGAACAATGCATAAATTAAAAATTCAATTTTATTTCTGGCTTATGCAGAAATTTCTTATTGAAGCTGGGAGGTGTTAAAGTTGGTAGTATTTGTGTAGTGAAACTCGTGCAAAGACAAAGTTAACGTTTTGAACGGAAATAGTAATAAAAGCAGCTGTAATATAAAAAGATTAATATGTTGAACCTCAGTTTTGTTTTTACCTACAATAATAAAAAAAAAGTAAGATTGGAAATTACTTGCTTGTTTTTGCTGCATTATATCCTCAGCTGAGTATAAGGTAATTAACATTTATATATTGCCTAAAAAAGAGTGAATTATTATCTCTGTTACGGAACTTATTCGGAGCAAGTTAGTTTTTACCCTTTAAAGAGATGGTAAATAATTTTGGCTTGTATACTGCCGTTAAGCCGACTATAAAAACGCA